TATACGTACTAAACCCTAAACCCTATGAGTAGCCGTATTCTAACTGCTAAGGCTTCTATACTACGGGAGGGCAGACCGAATTGCGGCCAAACTGGAGTTGCGCGCTTAAGCTTCGAGTTGAGGGATTTAGTGTTTAGGGGTTTAGGGTTTAGGGTTTAGGGTTTAGGGTTTAGGGGTTTAGGGTTTCGACGCCGCCGGGAGGCAGCTATCCTTTCCCGACGTACGAAGAGCTCCTCTACTCCCACCACTTTGACGAGAGCTTTGACAAATGAGCTTCGAAAGAAGCAGATTGATTTTTGTCAGCATCGCCTTTCGCGTTACCTCACCCCCACAATCGCAAACTTAGATGCCTAAGCCCGAACCAAAACTTCAAGCACTCACCCTACACCTCGAAGCCCACTAAAAGCCTAAAGCATCAGGCATTTTTGGACACACTCCCACTTGCCCTAAGGACCTCACCTTGAGGAACCCGTGTTGTTTGAGGGGCATCTGGCCTACTTAGTTGCTTGCCGGTTGGAGTTGTGCAGCAGGGATTAGGTTTAGGGATTTGGTTCTAAGGCGTTTAGGGTTCACGGCCCTTTAGGGGTTTACGATTGGGGTTAACGGTTTTGGGGTTCCGGGATTTTGGGTTTCAAGTTGGTCTCGCTTCAGGCTTTTAGGGTTCTTGGGGTGGTGAGTTTAGGGTTTAGGATTCCGGACCCACCAACAGACAGTGTCGTGGCCCAGGTACTTCGTACTACTTGCCACTTCGGGTTCCCGATTAATATAGGGGCCTCAATAATTACCTATATTACTTTGGTGGGTTCTTATTATAAGTATACTATAATGGCTCCAAACCCTATCTAACTATTAAGGCCCCTATATTACAGTTATACCGTATTATGTCTAAACTCCTGTTCGGAATATTAGGGCACAGGCTTCCTAAACCCTAAACCCTAAACCCTAAACCCCAAAACATAAACCCTAAACCCTGACCCCTAAACCTTTTGGGACTCTGAAGGCTGAGGCACCAAAATACCAGGCGCTGCAGGCCATCAAAACTTCTTGGTGTTGCACCCGGAGCCGAGGGTTTAGGGTTTAGGGTTTAGGGGTTTAGGGTTTAGGGTTTAGGGGTTTAGGGTTTAGGGTTTAGGGCTCAAACTTAGACCTCTAAACTTAGCAACCAGTCCTAAACCCTAAGCCCCTACACCCTGAAAAACTCCCACCCTGAACCGCCTTATAAACCCCAAAACCCCCAAAACCCCTAAGCCTGAAGCCAAAGCCTCATAACAACCCATCGCTTTTCACTTCAGTAGAGTTTTGAACCAGTAGCTCCACAGTGCCGAAAGTGTGCTGCATGGAGGCCTAGCATCAGATGAGTCTGGGCCACCAAAACCCAAAAACCCTCAGCCCTAAACCCAAAAACCCTAAGCCGTGAAACCGAAACCCTGAACCCCAAAGCCTTGCAGCTGATAACTGGTGCTATCTGCATTTAGCCCTGATGAGCTCGGATTTCGATTTTAAGGGATTAGGTTTAGGGGCTTAGGGGCTTGGGGGTTTAGGGTTTATAGGGTTTAGGGTTTAGGGCTTATAGGGATTATTCATGAGATAGGAGAGGGTTTTGGGGGGGTACATCACCACGAGCTGTGTTGACTTGATGAGGAGCAGGCATTGGGGTAATTAGGTGTAGCGGTACTGGCAGGGTGGGGTGGTAGTAAGAGCACCCCCCTCTCCCCGTCGACCAACTACACTTGAGACCTTCTTAGCCGCACCTGCGAACACAAATATTTACGGTTTTGTCCACTATCCTACCATTTTTGCTTCACGATTTTGGTGCTGGTGCTGGTGCGGGTGCGGGTGAGCTGCTGCTGCTGCTCGTGCTGTTGCCGATGCTATGCTGTTGCAGTTGCTTCTGGAGTTAGCCAGCTCGCCAGCCACCCAGCCAAACCCGCCACCCAGCAATGGCTGAACCCAAAACTCGCAGATCTCCGAGCCTCGCCGTACTGCGGCGGGCGTGGCCCAGACTGCGTGCAGGAATAGGGTGGAGCTTGATTTCCTGTACAAAGTGAACGCCCGAGTTGCTGGGGTCCTGAACCCTCAGAGCGTGATGTTCAAGTCGCTGCTACCCTACACCCTAAACCCTAAACCCTTAAACCCTAAACCCTAAACCCTAAAACCCTAACCCTAAACCCTAAACCCTAAACCCCCCTAAAACCTTAAACCCCTAAACCCTAAACCTTGACCCGCGAACTGGCATGTCAACCCGGAACCCGAAGGACCTTGGCACTCGGGCTACAGGGCTTAGTTTTCCACGATACCTCGCGAAATTTTTGTGTCCGGACATGCAGCGGGGGGAGGAGACCCAGAGTTCGAAGCTGGTGGTTTTCATTACGGTGGTTTCACAGCAGTTTTTTGGGGGTTTCACAGTGGCAGTTTTGGAAGGCTTATAAAGGACTTAATGCGTCTAAGCGTTCTTTCCGGTTTAGTAGCAAGATTTCGGAAGGGGTGTCTAAAGCTTCTTCGTATTTAAGGGTGAGGATCCAGTGTTTTTGTTAAGAACCTCAAGTACAAAGGTTGCAAAGTATGCCTTCCCGCTCCATTCAGGGTAGTTTTGGTGATTGTAGGATGTCGGGTTGGGAGTGTTAAAGTTCGAGGTTTCCAACTGAAGGCATCGTAACGCAAGATGCCATCACGAGTTTACGATGGAAGGCTTAGTGTTAATATAGGGGCCTTAAGAATTTGAATAGGGTTTGGGGTATACTATACTATAATTATAGTAAGGCACCCACCAAACCCTATTCCAAGTATTAAGGCCCCTACATTAGGGTCTCAGTTGCTGGCTTTTGGGCGCGCGGCACTGCAGCAGGGGCTTGTTCAATGATGCCAGTGATCCGGGGACTTGATCCAAAAGAGGGCTTGTCAGTGATCTGGAAGCTTCTTCCAAAAGTAGCCGTATCAGGCTTTGTTTGTCAGGGTTTCACACGGGTTCTTAAATTCTTAAACATCCATTAGTCTCACCAAGTTTATTATAGTCTTTTTGTCCTAAACCCTAAACCCTAAACCGCGCTCTTGAGCCCTCCCAGAGCATGTCCATCTCGGTGGAATCAAGTGGAGCTTCATTGTGATTCCCGATACCCTGCCGTGCTGATTTAGCCGCCAATCTCCTTGTGCACCATCTGCCAGCGTTGCCATCGGAAAAGCAGGATAGGGTTTGGGGTTTAGGGTTTAGGGGTTTAGGGTTTAGGGTTTAGGGTTTTAGGGTTTAGGGTTTAGTCTCCATTGTAGTTCCTTTTTTTGGTTTAACCAGTCATATATTAAGGATTCTATAACGTATCCCCAAAAAGGAACTACAATGGAGACTATAGGCAGGATTGTGACAATATAGGGTCTGAATGACTTTTGTAATGGTTTTCCCGTTATGATCCCAATATATTTGTATGACTAGGCTTTTAATTAAACCCTAAACCCTAAACCCTAAACCCTAAACCCTAAACCCTAAACCCTAAACCGTCCCTCACTGTTTGTTCAGGTGGCGAACCCATCCCTCAAGCTAACAGCTCAAAGCCCTCGAGTCTGAACCTCGCCTGAACCTTGGAGATTTGGAGCTTGGGGATGATTTAGGGTTTAGGGTTTAGGGTTTAGAGTTTAGGGTCTGGGGAACCGAACGCCAACCTCTGCAAAGCCTGGCATTCGCACTCTATCACCCTAAGGGTCCAAGTAGTCCTTATTCATGGTTTTAGGTACCCAAAAAGGCCCCAAAGTCCTTGAATAATGGGTACTTGGACCCTGAGGGTCAGTCATCAGCACTGGTAGAACTTGTCGCTCCCTATAGGAAGAGACCCAAGAAACCCAAAGAGCTCTGGTAAAACCCCCTTAATGCAACCTTATAGGAAGCCCGAGAGGGGGGTTTAGGGTTTAGGGTTTAGGGCCCCCGCGCCCCAGAAGACCAGGCGTCTAGTCTCCAGCGGGCCCCTTTCGTGCGAAGACTCTGCAAGGAAAAATCGGTTGTTGGCCTCTAACCCTGAACCAGAAGCCCTGCCTGGACCCCAAAAGTATGCGAAACAATAGCCTGTTAGAGGTGTTGGGCCATGATTATGCCTACTTTTACAGGGGTCTAATTCGGTGATGACATTGAACACGAAACCTCAGCTCTGAACCTTCTTCGGAATCTCCAACCTATGGTGAAGGAAAATGGCCTTAAGCAAACATAAATCTGAACCCCAGCCCTAAGCCCCAAACCCCGGGTCCCTACAACCCAAAGCCTTAACCTGCACGCAGCAGAGAGCCTGGGGTATAGCTTGCACGATGTTTGGATAAGGCTTTAAGAGCACTAGCTTACAGGTTCGCAGGTTCGTCGCAAACCTGTGGTTTTCGGGTGACGGGCCTGGTTTGGAGATACTTGCTGGCCGTTCTATCCGAAAGATCGGTACACGCCATGCGAGAAGCCCACAAGCTTATTCAATTCAGTCCTCAAATCATTAGGGTTTAGAGCTTATAGGGTTAACTTGGTTAAGCGTCCAGAAGATAACGATCCTAGGACGGTAGTTAGGGTCAATACTCTGTTTCGCGATCTTCTGAACCCCCCCCCGATTCCCAACTCACAAACCTGCTCTTTGGCTGAGGCCTTAGCAGCCATGGGTGACGGAACGCGGGGAGCTAAGCATTCGGGTTATTTCGGGGGCCTCAAATAAGAAATGCGTATACCATTGTGGAGTTTCCTTATCATAACTATAGTATAAAAAGACCCCAAAGCCTTATTTTAATTATAAAGACCCCTACATTAGAGGGTCTCCGGTTTAGGGCTTCGGCACTGCGAGCCGCGCACTGCAAAACCCCAGCAACAAACAACCAGAAGCCTGATCCGTGCCGAGCTAATATAGGGGCCTTAGTAGTTAGAATAGGGTTTGGGGGTACAGGACACTATTATACTTGTAATAGTAAGGAGTCCCCCCAAACCCTATTCTTCTTTTTAAGGCGCCGACATTACGTGAAATGACGGCGCTTTTTTTGTCAGCAACCATTCGATACGGGAGCTCATAACTGGGCAGATGGCTTCGGATTTACGTGTGTAGTGGTTTAGGGTTTAGTGTTTAGGGGTTTAAGTTCCGGGTTTCGCCTTGAGATGCAGGATGCGCATGCCTGCCCACGCTGCAGCACGATGTCCAGGGGCCGGTGTCCCAACATAATATAGGGGCCTGAGTAATTACCGATACTATTTTGGGGGTTCCTTCCTTGTTATATTGTATACTCTACACCAAAACCCCTGTTCTAATTATTGAGGCCCCTACATTATTCATATAGTAAAGCACACCCAACAGCCTAACCTAATCAATCGGGCCCGGAAGCGCTAAACACCCTCTTTTGTCTCCAATTATCAAGCCTTAAGCCCCAAACCCATCAAAACCCTAACACCCAAACCCATCTAAACCCTGACACCTAAGCCCATCTAAGCCCTAAACCCATCTAAGAACCCTAAGCCCTAAACCCATCAACCCTAGACCCTAAACCCACCTAAACCCTAAGCCCTAAACCCTAAACCCGTCTAACCCTTGACAAGAACCCTTTAACGGAACCTGCAGGAACCCCTGTAAAGGAACCCTCTAAAGAAAACCTGTGCCCTTTAAAAAAGAATCCTTTAAAGGAACCCTTTTTAATGGACACCTGCTCCAACTCGTCCGGCTTTTTTTGTTGAGTCCCCTCGTCCACAAAACACTAAACCCTAAACCCTAAAGTCCCCGAACGAGGACCCCGATAAACCCTAAACCCTAGCCCCCTAAAGTACCCGAACGAGGAACTTTCGACCCTGAACCCCTAAACCCTAAAGCCACCGAACGAGGAACTTTCAACCCTAAACCCTTTAATTAACCCTAAAGTCCCCGAACGAGGAACTTTCAACCCTAAGCCCCTAAACCCCTGAAGTCCCCGAACGAGGAACTTTCGACCCTAAACCCCTAAACCCCTAAACCCCTAAACCCCTAAACCCTAGACCCTAAAGCCCTAAAGTCCCTGAGCGAGGCCTGCCATGGGGAAGCGCCACAAGAAGACGCATGGCCTGGCTCTCAGGGCCTTTTGGCCGTAGGGCTTGGGCCTTACTTGGTTTAGGGAGGTTAGGGTTTAGGGCTTAGGGTTTAGGGTTTAGGGTTCAGGGTTTAGGGTTTAGGGTTTAAGCTTAGGGCTTAGGCCTTATAGGGTTTAGGGAGTTTAGGGCTTAGGGTTGAAGCTTAGGGCTTAGGGTCTGTAGGGTTCAGGGTTCAGGGTTGACGGTTTAGGGCTTAGGGCTGTAAACCCGAGCCCCTGCAACCCTCACTCAACCCGAAAGCCACAAAGATCCCAGCTTTTGCCTGGATTCTTTGTGGCCTGTGGGTTTAGGGTTGAAGGAACTGGGTTTAGGCTTTGGGATTTAGGGGTGAGGGTTCAGGACTGTTTAGGGTTTAGGGATCTTTCGGATTTAGTGGACAAGTCGGTTGTTTCTTATCATGTACATGTGCAACTTACGGGACTTGCTCTTTATGGTTGCGTGGCCCTAAACCCCTAAACTCTAGCTCTTAAGCTCTCTAAACTCAAGGCCCGAAGCTCTAGACCTGGAGCTCTCTAGACCCTAAACCCTAAGAAGGCCCCCCTAAGCCCTGAACTTTTGGGGTGGGCGCGGGTGGGATGATCTTCTCCTGGGTTTGTTGTTGGGCTGATCCGTAAGGTACACTGTTTGCTTTGGTGGGGGGGGGGGGGGGGGGATGCAGAGGCCTTAATAATTACCTACAGTATACTATTTTGGGGGTTCCTTATTATAGCCATAGTATATATATATATATATACTATACCCCCAAACCCTATTCTAATTATTAAGGGCCCTGCATTAGGGGTTTATGGCATCAGGGGCTTTGTCAAGCTGGTTTGAGGGTTTGGGGTTTGGGGGTTTAGACCTTATCTGCTCCCCAGTAGTACCCTGTTGCCCTTTTCCTTTTGGGCCCTCTTATCCTTAAAACCAAACAGTAGGATAAAGGGGACATTATTTAGGGGCTGCGGGGGACTTAGTTCTGGTGCAGGGCAGCTACTACGTGATTTGCGACCTTTTGGGGCGCAGGGTTCTAGACGTTCAGGTCTGTGGTCCCTCGTGTCAGTGGTCCGTCCTTGATGGTGCGCGTTGGTGTTTTGTTTTTCTTGGTGCGGGAAAAAGTAAAAGATACTATAGGGGCCTTAATGATTACCTGTACTTTTTTGGAAGTTCCTTATTACATCTATACTTAAAGGACCCCAAAACTCTATTCTAGGATTTCTTCGGCCTCTCGAAACGGACATATCGAAGTGTCTACACAAGTTTCGGTTGCAGATATTCCTGTGGTACATGATATCATACTGGCTCCACAGACTGTACATTGCGAAGTGGAGCTGCGGGGTATATGTTTCCTCGGCCGTAACATAACTTAACCATGGACCATTGCCTTGTGCAACTGAGTGTCCCTCTCCGCCGGTCTGTTTAATTTAGCATTGGACATGGGTGGTATAATATATAGGTATATATATATATATATATACGTATGTATATTAATGTAAATATATATATAGATAAAAAATATTCATGTGTGTATTCATATATACAGTGTATCTGTGACTGCACATCTAAGCAGAAACAGGTTGACAGCATAGGTGACACTAGCAAGCAGGTTAAAGGAATCTGCTTCATCGTCCTAAACACTGAGCTCCTGAATCAAATCCTCATTACCCGAACCCTGAACCTCAGACCCCTTCTAAAACCCTCTAAAGCACCCCTTGTCGGAACCCTTCATAGTGCCCCTTTGCAGAACTTAAACCTTAAATCCCCGCAAACCCGGACTACATACAGAAACCATAATAACGGAACCTAGGAAGGTAGGTCTGTTCGGCTACAGGTAAGCCCTCCCCTAAACCCTAAACCCTAAGCCCTAAACCGAGCCCCTCTTTGAGAGGCCTTTGCCCTCGCTGCGGGAAGCGCTCGTACCATCTGCTGGGATCTCATGTGCTGGGGTCCGTCACAAACCAAGACCCTAAACCCTAAACCCTAAACCCTTCAAGTACCCTCAAATAGGGTTTATATGGTCCCAACTTAAGGGTATTTAGGGCCCAATAGAGGGCAGATCGAGGGTCTAAGAAGGTTTCATGTGAGTAGGTTTCTACATAGGGTCTCGTTCAGGATCTTTTTCATAAGTGGTGGCGTACTATTTTGGGGATCCAAAAAGGCACCCTAATTTTGAGAACTACCCATGTGCTGGGGTCCGTCACAAAGGGTTAGGAGTTTGGGGTTTAGGGTTTGGGGTTTGGGGATTTAGGGTTTTGGGGTCCGTCACAAAGGTTTACTGTAAACCCCAGAAAGTTGGAACATAGGTTTAGGATGATTTGTCCCAGGATCCCTTATACTCTACTTGAAGGACATGAGGGACTATAATGTTCCAACTTTATGGCTTCTACTATAGGAGTTTGGGGTTTGGGGTTTGGGGATTTAGGGTTTATGGTCTTGGGATCTAGGGTTTTAGGGCTTAGGGTTGAATGTAGTAATAACAGTTCTTTGGGGGTTGCATGGGCTCTTATGGGGGTTTATACATGCGTTGTAGGGGTCTGAATAACCAGTGAGGGTATCCCCTTGTTTTTTGACTGACCTGTCATAATGCACCCCACAATCCTATTCTAAATCAGACACCTCGGTTTAGGTTGTTGGCAACTCGTGACTTCTTTTGATGTGTGTGTACATCTATCTATCTATCTATCTATCTATCTATCTATCTATCTATGTATGGGTGCATGCGTGCGTGTGTTTGTTTGCGTCTGCTTCCGTGCTAAGCTAAGACAGGTGTTGGACTCTCCGAAAACCAAAGTCAACCAGACCCCAGAGCCGAAACGCAAGTACTTCTCAATGCCTACTATAGGGGCCTAAATAATTACCTAGAATATTTTGGGGTTCCTTAGTATAATGGGTCCCAAAAACCCTAGTCTTATTATTAAGGCCTCCACATTATCCCGCGAGAAGTTGGTGCAACTCCGTTCAGAGTCGAAATTTTGTCCTTGCGGCTGGATGTGTGGCCGAAGCCCACGGAGCTGGGGAACACGGTTTCGGGTTTAGGGTTTAGGATCTAGGGTTGAGGGTTGAGGGTTACCCGGTTTTAATGTAGGGGCCTTGATAATTCGAATGGGTTTGGGGCTTAGGGTTTAGAGTTTAAATGTAGGGGCCTTAACATATAAGAATAGGGTTTTGGTAGTATGCTATAGTTGCAATAAGGAGCCCCCAAAACTCTATTCTGCTTCCTAAGGTCCCTTCATGAGCTTAAACCATGAACCCAAACGCAAGACCCCGATTGCAAAATTCGCAGCCGCAAGCCCCCTAAACCCTAAACCCTAAACCCTAAACCCTAAACCGTAACCCTTTAATCAAACAAAGATCATCTCGGTTTCGGCCGTTTTGAAGGTAAGGCTTTCGGGTTTATGTTTTGAGGGTTTAGGGTTTAGGGTTTAGGGCTTAGGGTTTAGGGCTTAGGGTTTGGGGTTTAGGGTTTTGGGCGACTGTTAGGATGGAGGACATGTTTTGGACAAAGCGTCTCGCGGATGTTGTTCGTGAAACAACTGACAGTGGCTTGGTCAACGCGACAGTCGCAGAAGTTACTCTTGGTGGCATGGGCTGCCCACATAAACCCTAAACCCTAAACGATAAACCCTAAACCTTAAATCCTTAGATTGTAAAACCCAAACCCTAAACCGCCAACAGCCGCAACATGAAGTTCCAAGAGAGCCTGCGGACACGAAAGCCCGAAATCCGAGACCCTAAGCCCTGTAGGCTCTATCATAGGTAGCATTAGGGTTTAGGGTTTAGGGTTTAGGGAGACCCCTTGATGCGGGACCCTTCTGAACCATGCCTTATGGCTCTCTTACTGAGAGGGTCTCTGTCCGCAAAATTCCCCCTAATCCTAACTCCTACTCTAAAGAAGTCAATTCCCGAAGCCCCAAACCCTAAACCCCTAAACCCTAAACCCTAAACCTAAACCCTAACCCCCAAACCCACCCTGGGCCTTGAACCAGAAGGCTTCGACCCAACTCTCGAACTCCAAAGTTAGCAGGCCAAGACCCTAAACCCTACCTTAACCTACCAAAACCTACTTTTTGGTAGGTTCTTATAATAAACCCTGCTGAAGTACAGATGTGCCAGCCTC